TGGCCACCCTCCCGATGGAACCCTGTGGTGCCAGGCGGGAATGGGCTGCTTGGGCACCCAGCGAGCTCCCAGTGCCTTTCTGCTACTTCCTCCACCCCTGTATTTCACTCAGCTCTCGAAATTGACCCAGCTCCAGGTAAGGTCAGAAACTTCTTCTGCAAACAGACTTTCAGTTTCTCCAGTGAGGGTGTGTTCAGGAGAGGAGGGTCTCCCTTCCCACTTACGCAGTTGGGGCACTCATAGTATTTGGCGTGCCTCCCAGGTCCCGCAGGAGCAGTCTGCCTCCTTCAGAGGGTCTGTGGGTCCTCTCGGGATTGCTGGTTTGTTCTTGCAGTTGATCTGGAGCTAAAATTCACAGTGCAAGCCTCCACACACTGCTCTGTCCAGAGTTGTAATCTAGTCCTGCCTTGTATCTGCCATGATGATCCAGTTTTGTTTGTTTGTTTGTTTTTGTTTTTTTTAGGCAGAGTCTCACTCTGTCACCCAGGCTGGAATGTGCCCTGAGTGTGATCTTGGCTCACTGAAGCCTCCACCTCCCGGGTTCATGCAATTCTCCTCTTTATATATTTTTTAAAGAAAAGAGAGGACACAGCAGAGGAAAAAGCACAAAAGCAGGGTGACCTTGATTCTAGTTCTTTTTCTCCCACGGACTCAGTGTGAAACCTTTGCAAGTAACATCATGTCTGTGGCTCAGTTTTGTAACGGACAAAATGAGAACAATGCAACACCAGAACCTCTCTATTAATTTAATAGGATTGGAATGGAATAATTGAAGAACAAGGAATATTACCAGGGGTAAAAAGGGATTAAAGCAATGAGTTTTTGTTATGAACTTGCCCAGAGGCATTGCTCGTTTTCACATTTTATGTAGCAAGAATTAGGGAATTACTAAATATATAAATCAGAGATGTATTTAAGAGAGATTCATAACTATTAATTGAGAAGATCATGCAGACTAACTCATTAAAAACTTCTATTCTTACAAAAGTTGTAAAGACTTTCCACTGGGTAAAAACCCACATTCAACTTATGTGGTGCTTACTAGAGATACATAAAACAAAATGACACAAAAAGGTCAGTGTGGAAACTTATATGACCACATACAAATTAAAAATAAAGCAAGGTTTATGGTATTTATATAAGATAGCAGTCAAATTTAAGACAGAAACACTTTGGACACAAAGATTTTATACCATAATGAGGAACAGGGCAACTTGGGCACAGAATTCCAACACTACTGCTTACTATGTTGGCTTCTTTACAACATTTGTTCATCCATAAAATGGGAGTATTACTAGTACCTGCCTCAGAGGGTGGTTGTGGGGATGAAAAAGACAGTGCCAGAACATAGTGCATGCTCAGCAATTAGTTATTACTGTTGATGCCTTAAAATTGATGAAAATCAAAAACCATAGCAAGGAAAATGGATAGAAATGTAATAGTCACAGGAGTTTTTCACTTACTTTCACCAGTTTTTACAAGATCATGTAGCTATAAAAATGTCCAAAAAAAAAAAAAAAAGGAATAGCGTGTTTATTTCAATCAGAATTACCTGTACCCTTTTAAAAATAAATGTGATACAAGGATTTATACTAAATCTAATTAGTTTGGTCATAAGGAATGAAACAAAGGCAGGTTTATTTATTTTTTTAACTTGACTTCAGAAGTTTCTCTACTGTATACTGTTGCTGAAGATCCACTGCTAAAAATGTTATAATGTCTTCGATAAGGTTGATTTGGCCAAAATTTACCAAACCTTCCAAGTAGAAATTATGTATGTTGTTCTCCAGTATCCATGGATAATTTCTAATATCCAAATTTCTACTCAAAGTTTATTTTTCTTCCCTTGACCATTCTTTCTAGAGGTTTATCTGCCTTTATCGCCTGGATTGAATTTTAAGTTTAATATGTTTTATTTGCCAAATTTTAAATTTAAATTTAATTCCAAGTTTTTAAGAATTATCCTCATTAATTCCTTTCTCCTTTCCTCAGCTTTATTTTCTAGCTTCTTTTTGAAGTTATATTTATTTCTATTCTTCCATGCCTAATAATAAGTGAAGAAAAATAAAAGTGACTGTGTCCACCATATCTAACCATGTAGCTAAATATCCAAATATTATATATATATATACATTTATATATACATATAAAATGTAAGTCTATGTTAATATATTTTAGAGTCTTCTCACATCATTGGATTAACTTTCTGAAAAAAATTAAATGAGATTCCTATCGAAGTAACATAATATTTTAAATATTTAAAAGTAAAATAAAGAACTATAAAAGTATTAAAAATTGTGTTACATTTCTATATAATCTTGGGGTGAAGTATTTTTTAATTGATCACAAAAATGCTATAAAGGAAATTTCCTTATTTATCTATATAAACTTAGAAAACCTTCTGCATATTAAAACACTTCAAACATCAAACTGGGAATATATATGTATTATATGATCAACAGATGGCTTGTTTCCTTAATACATAAAAAGATCTTAGAAGTCAGTAAGAAACAGAGCATGCTCTATCATAAAAAGGGGCAGAAATCACAAACAGATTTCAGCAGGAGGAAAATAAATGGCCATTAAACTCAGGAGAAAATGGTCAACTTCAATTGTAAATTGAAGAAAAAATGTAAATTACAGGAATATATTCATATTTTTACCCATTAAATTGGCAAAGATTAACAAAAAAGAATCTAATATTTGATATAAATCTAAAAATTTAGATTTAAAATATTTTTATAATTTAAAATATACAAATCAGATATTTGCATAATCTGTTAGTTGGCATAAAATTTACAAGTTATTACTGTGTAAATTTTCAAATTGTAAATTTTAATATATTTTAAAAACCTTAAAAATAAGCATAATCTTAAACAATTTTCACTTAAAAATGTTTGCCCATGGAAATAATTAAAGATGTGGTCAATAGTTCGCTGGATGAAATTTTACTGTAAAATTCCCTGTAATAAAACGTTGGTACTCAAGAAATTGTTAATAAGATGGTGACTGAACATAGAAATCTGTAAAATAAATGATATAGTCCACTAGTCATATCTTTTAGTCATAAAAATGATGTTGTAGATGAATGTTTATTGAAAAAGAAAACATGTTCTATTGATTTAAAAAGAATGTTACAAAACAATACATATTTTGCTATCAAATTTTTGAAAAAACTATCTGGAAAGACATGCAGATGTGCACTAAGGTAGCAACCACCATTGACTATTAGGGATTTGTCATTTTAAATTTTGCTTCTTATTATCTAATTTACCTACAATAAAAAATATGTTGCATTTGGAATTAGGAAAAAGGAAATCCCAAATAAGATATTTTAAATTTCCAAATCTTCTCATTCTCTGCCAACAATCACCTGAATAATATGGGGAAGAAGTATGCAGGAAGGCTGGCTTTATGAATAGGTAGGAAAAAAGAAAACAGAAAAAACAATTGTAGGGTTTATATAGATATTAATTACTCTTTGAGGAGTGTCAATGAATAGGCAAAATACTTTGATTTTACCAGGATATTTGAATACCTGTTGGGATAAACCCTTCAGCACCCACCCTATCACCCAAGCCACAATGACGCCTTGCTTCCATTGCAGAAGCTTCCCATCTGGTCTTCCAACGTGTCTTCCTGCTGTTTTTACTCTACTGTAGACTCTTTTAAAACCAGAGAGCAATGCTTCCCGTTCTCACTCAGATCAATAGCAATATTCTTGTAATAACCTCCAAGGCCTTAGGTAATCTGGTTACCTAATAATCTCTCTGACCCTATCATCAGTCAACTGTTGCCTAGCTCACTCTGCTCCAGACATACCAGCCTCCTTGCTGTTCTTCAAACACATCAAGTGTCCTCCCCCTTCAGTGTCATCGCTCTTGCTTTCGTCTGTGCCTCATACACCCTTTCTCCAACTATTTACATGGCTTATCCAATCACTTCTGTCCTCAGTCTGTTCAAATGCCACCTTCTCAGTGAGATTTTCCACAGCCACTGTTTACAAAATAGCACATCCAACTTTCTTTTCCCCTTGCCCTGCTTTCTTGTTCTCTACATAGCTCTTATTACTAAGGACACATTCACTATATGCTTATATGTTTATTGCTTATTCTGTGTCTCCTAGACACAAGGATATAAACACCGTGTGGTCACAGATTTATTTTGTCCACTGCTGAATCCCTAGCCTCTTTAATAGTGCTAGGACCATAATAGGTGCTCAATAAGTATTTATTGAGCAAATGAATGGGGTATGGGTTTGAGATTGGCAATGTTTTAATTACATAAATCAATATTTAGGTCATAATCAGTTTTGACTATTAGTAATCTATACTTAAGGTAGTAGCAAAGTACCCCTTTGATGGGATAAGGGGGACTGTCAATTTAAAAGGAAAGATGAAGGGTAAGAGAATGAAATTAGGTTTTTTGTACATCAGAGGCCCCTTTCTAAGGCATCAGGGTAATATAATTCATTCATGAGTTTATGAAAATCTGCTTGTCATTGTGCTTGCTGGAGCACTACCAGGAATTGTGCTTGCTAAAGATACAAAGACGTGTAGTATTTAGTACCAGCCCTTAAGAGATCTATTCAACAGAGGCAATTCTAGGTTTTCCATGTCATTCCCTCATTCCCCTTCTCCTTGCTATCAACCAAATGTGTAACTGTGCTCAAGGCAGGAATGTGATTAACACCAGGCGTAAACACAGTTACATAGACTCACAAAGGGACTAAGGGACTAGAAATCTACAAGACAGATGCCAAGAATGCGCTTGCACTGCGGACTTTGGCCCTTCTTTCCAGAAGTGTTGCTATGGTATTCTAATTCTAAACTCAAAGTACCGGAAAGCCGCTACTCTTGAAAGTTAGCTGGTTAATAGTTCAAACCATTTTCTTTTTCATCCTCATACCTCACAAAAGTAAGGAGCAAATGAGTTGGGGTTTTGCAGGACAAGATATGAAAGTCAGCTAACCCTGTCCCAACAGGTCCCTATTTCCTTACATTCACTCGTTGGTGTAGTTCAGCCTTTGTTTCCTCATCATCCCACAGGTCATCAGGAAGGGAATTGAAATCAGCCTGCCATTGAGCTACAAAATCTTGCTTGTGATCTGGACGCTTTAGAAACTCCTGGAAACTTGTTCTGTAGACATGAAGAGAATGAGATAAATTTTATATGTCATGCCTCTAAACTGTAAAATTCTAACTTTGGAAACTTTACTTACCTAATCTCATATAAGTAAGCAAGCACAGTATGCTGGTCTTCCCTCAGATGCCTGAGTACTGTTTTGATGGTGTTTATATAGGAATTTTCTATTAGTTCCCAGTAAGGTACTAAAAACGAAGGCATTTCCTGTTAAATTGTAAAGTATAGAAATTTTTACTTCAAAATGAAAGTTCTTCTGAATAATAGAGTCAAAGGAATAGTCCCAAGCAAAAAGGTCAAGATGCAACTGCAACTACCTAAAACATTCCCTGTGAGACTTCTTGCTCCTCTTCTCTCCCACGTCCCCGACTATAGTAAATTCATATTCCAAATAATCCTCCATGTCTCAGCCCAGATATTATTTATTCCAGAAATTGGGGGGCCGGGCACGGTGGCTCATGCCTGCAATCCCAGCACTTTGGGAGGCCAAAGTGGGCAGATCACCTAAGGTCAGGAGTTCTAGACCAGCCTAGCCAACATCATGAAAGCCTGTCTTTACTAAAAATACAAAAAAATAGCCAGGTGTGGTGCCATGTGCCAGTAATCCCAGCTACTCGGGAGGCAGAGGCAGGAGAATTGCTTGAACCTGAGAGGCAAGCTTGCGGTGAGCTAAGCTTGTGCTATTATACTGCAGCCTGGGCAACAAGAATGAAATTCCATCCAAAAAAAATTATTTATTACAGAAATCCTTCCCAGATACAACAAGTCTGCAAGGTCACACTGAGGTTCTGAGGTTCTCCCTTAGCATCCTGTACTTTTCCCATCATAACACTGATGCTGTTAATTGTAACATCATCATTTACTTGTCTGTACTCACCTCTAGAATGGCAGTTTCATAAAGCCAGAAACTGATTGTCTTGTTTACCATTATAAGAAGACTCTTCAAAAAGTTTATGAAAAATGCACATTATGAAAAAACTATGCATGAATTTTGAAATTCAATATTTGAACACATCTGAATAGGATGTAGTTTCAGACACTGAGAAAGATGAGATATCAGCTTGAAAAAAGCCCCTATCTGAGCAACATGAATTCTGCAAAAATTGAAACAAGAACAAACATAAAATTGCTGGTGACGCTAAGGAGGAAGAATGGTGAAATCATTGATGCTTTACAAAAAGTTTATGGGCACAATGTTCCAAAGAAATTAGCAGTTTACTAACTGATCTTAAAAAGGTGAGATAATGTTGAAGATGAAGACTGCAGCAGTAGACCAATTCATATCAATTTTCAAAGAAAAAATTAACTTTTTGTGCCCTCACTGAAGAGGACCAATGATTAACAGTAGAACAATAGCCAACCCCACAGACATCTCAATTGGTTCAGCTTACACAACTCTGACTAAAAATAAAAGTGGAGCAAACTGTTCACTAGATGGATGTCAAAACCATTGTGCCCAGATTAGCGGTAGACAAGAGCAAAACTTTCAATAGAAATTGTTAACAAGTAAGATCAAGATTCTAAAGCATTTCTTCAAAGAATTTGTAATGGGAGATGACGTGTGGGTTTATCAGTATGATTCTGAAGACAAAGCACAATCAAAACAATGGCTACCAAGAGATAGAAGTGGTCCAGGCAAAGTAAAAGCAGACTGTATCAAGAGGAAAGGTCATGTCAAGAGGGTTTTTTTTTGTTTGTTTGTTTGTTTGTTTGTTTTTTTGGATGCTCCAGGCATTTTGTTTGTTAAATTTCTGAGGGGCCAAAGAAAAATAACATCTGCTTATTATGAGAGTATTTGAGAAAGTTTGCTAAAGCTTTAGCAGAAAAACAACTGAGAAGCTTCACCAGAGAGTTCTTCTCCACCACCACAATTCTCCTGCTCATTCCCCTCATCAAACAAGAGCAATTTTGTAAAACACTAGATGGGAAATCATTAGGCATCCATGATATTGTTTGGCTCTGTGTCTCCACCCAAATCTCATCTCAAATTGTAATCCCCATAATCTCCATGTGTCAAGGGGAGGACCTGGTAGGAGGGGATTGGATCATGAGGTGGGTTTTCCCCATGCTGTTCTTATGATAGTGAGTTAGTTCTCATGCAACACGATGATTTTATAAGTGTTTGACAGTTCCTCCTTCACACACACACATACACACTTTCACTTGCCTCCATGTAGTATGTGCCTGCTTTCCTCTCTGCCATGATCGTAAGTTTCCCAAGGCCTCCCCAGCCATGTGGAACTGTGTGAGTCAATTAAACCTCTTTCTTTTATAAATGACCCACTCTTGGGTATTTCTTTATAGCATTGTGAAAACAAACTAATACAATCCACCTTATATTTCTGATTTGGTTCCATCTATCTTCTTTTCGTTTCCTAATCTTGAAATATCTGTAAAGGGTACCCATTTTTTAAACAAATAACGTAAAAAAGATTGCATTGACATGGTTCAACTCTCGGGACCCTCATTTCCTTAAGGACGGACCACATTGTTGGCATTATCTCCTACAAAAGTGTCTTAAACTTGAAGCTTATGTTGAGAAATAAGGCTTATTTTTAAATTTTTATCTTTCAATTCAATTTTTCCACGAGCTTTTTGAAGTCCTCTCATGCCATCTTTTCTTTAATTACCATAGTGTTTGGGACATAGTTGGCCCTCAAGGAATAGTTATTGAATGAATACATTGAATCATCACAGGTGACATATTTTGTCTCAGTTAGGAAACTGCCTAGCATGAAGAACACCTAGTGTTCATGTCAGGGTGATGACGAGTTATTTCTCTGATTACATTTAGAAGGTTCTTTCATTCCTGTGTGCTTCATGAAAATCAGAAATTTTCTTTTATATTTTCTTTAATAATGCAAATAAACAATCAAAACCAAGAAATAATCTAAATTAATAAAGCTGAGGATCCATATTATATTTATTATATTTTTATTGGCTGTGCATTTATTTACTCAGGGAATTACACATGGAGACGTTAGAGGTCATCTGGGCTAATTTCCTCTCCAATCAAGAAATGCCAAATGCTAGAGATATATTATCTAATCTCCCTGTGGACCTCATGTATGCATCAAGCACAGAATTTCAAGGCAGCCTCCTTCAATGTTCACAACTCATGTTACTGGAAAACTTTTTCTTCTGTTGAGCAGAAATTTGTCTTTCTGTAATTTCCACTGAGTCCTAGCTATCCTCTTTGGAGAAGGACAGACTACATTCTCACTATTTTTCTTATGGCAGAGACTGGCTTCAAGGAAGGCAATGACATAGGGAAAGAGGGAGGAAGGGGCAGAATCCGGGAACGGATTGTACTCTGTGTACTATGTTTTTTCCTATGCATACATTCCTATGATATAATTTAATTTATAATCAGGCACAGTAAAATATTAACTAATAAAAAAAAGAACAATTATGACAATATACTGTAAAAAAAAAAAAGTTACGTGATTGAGGGCTCTTCCTCTCTTTCTCTTACTCCCTGATCCACATATCCAGCCTTGCTCTCAAGGCTAGAGCAGGAATGGGTCTGCTCAACAGGAGTTATTCTTGCTGTGCAGGCTCTAAATGATCATCTTTATATTTTATTAGTGCTCAAAAGTAATGTGTTTAATACTTTGCTCTTAAATTACAACAATAATTAATGTATACATTATTGGTCTGTATGTTACTAAGTCCCACTGCCTTTTCTTAAGTATTTAGGCATTTGCCTGCGTCTAGTTTTCTGGAATCCCCTGTACCCGCTGTGACTTCTGTGAGTCATGGATAATGTAATATCTGTAGGTTCTTCCAGCCCCTGAGATGTAATTTTTCTGGGGTCTGGGAACTTGAACTTTCATGATGTAATGAGGTGCTCAGAGCTGTACTTTCCAATTAAATAGTTTTCCCTTTGTTAGAGAACACAAAATCATAGTAGGAATTCAGTAACCAAGGCAATATTCTTTGAAGTTTCAGAGACCCTCACTTTATATAGGCGTTGTCCAAGTTCCTGAGAGGAGCGTAGTAATTTGCTTACACAAGCAACAGATTCATCTTCAGGTACCACTGGTCAGATCTTCTGCCTTTTTCCAATTTGACTTCCTCTCTGTCACATTTCCTTCCATAATGAGTTATGAAGCTAAAAGAAAATGTTCTAACTATCAACACTAAAAAATCCAATGAACCTTGCTAGAGGGAAGCCTCAATTATCTTTCTGTTCTGTCTGTAGGAAAATGAGCTTACAAAATCATTGTCACATGTAAAGACCTGCAAAGATAAAGAAAAACAGAGGGGTACTGGGCATCTAAAAAGTGTTTGTGGTGCTTATCTGTTTCTTCCAGCTATAAAAATATTTCTTAATACAAATCAGTTCTAAATAAATATTCACTTCATGACTGATTCTGTATCTGCAATTTTGTGCTTCTTTTCTTAAAGAGGGTCCACCAAGTCTTTGGGACTCATAAAACCTTATTACTACCGTTAATTAATTTGACTTCATTTCTTTTCTCATTTAAGATGATTTCAGGTTACCCAAGCTGGGTTTCCATTTTCAGTCTTCTATTATCTTCTTAGACAATGTAACTACAAAATCTTTTTATTTTTGGCATTTTGGCAGAGACATCTACACATACCCTTGACTGTATTCTTTCAACATTTGAGTGCCTATGATGGGCTAGACACTCACTAAATTCCTATCCTTTTATGATTTTCTCAAATTTTTTGAGTACCTCCCCACTATCGCCCCTTTCCCCTGTAAAATGCCCTGGGATCACATTAGTTTCTTTGGTGCATAATTGGGATTTTAAGGGCAAATTTTCTTCTTATTTGAGCCCATCCACTTCTCTTAGAGCCTTATTCCCCTTTAGAGGCTGATTATGATTTCACTATAGGTTTGAAATATGCTTTCCTGATAACTAGGGCACATATTTCTTATGTTCTGCCAGATCCTTCCTTTACTATTACACCTCCTTTATTAGTACTTTCTCCTAAATTATTGATCATTTCCATTTATCTAACTGTCCATATTTGTTGGTCAGTACTAAATTCGAAGCATAGACCCCTCTATATTTTGAATGTTGAAATTGTCAGCAAGGCCAGTAGAGAATTGATCAAAAGCTCTGCTTTAATCTGAGTTACACATCTGGCAGTAGAGTCCTATGTCTGTCAGCCTCCTGAAGGAGGACAGGTTTCCAAATCCAGCACACATGGCCCTGTGGCCCCTGGGCTCAGTTTCAGGGAGGACTGTTGCTACAGGTTGGTTGAATGTGAGTGAGGGCACTAAGTGGGCCACATGGCCAGAGGCATGGCTGCCTCTTTCATGGAGTCCTGGCCTTGGGAGTCTGTTCTTGTGACTCCACAGGATGGAAGCAAAGACCTCCCACTCTATCTACCTTCTGTGTTCTCACTGCACCTTCCTTTGTGGCTGGCAAAGGGTAAAGATCCCAGGTTTTCCTTACATTTGGCTGCTACCTGAATGCTGTATGGAAGCAGCCTCTCTTTTCAATCTCTCTCCCTCCATTTGTCTGCTGAAGTAAGGTTGACCTGGGGCCCTCAGAAGGTCTGGAAACAGGGTTACCAGATAAAGTACAGGATTCTCAGTTAAATTTGTTGTTTAACTGAAATCCAAGTTGAGCTGGGCATCTGTCTTCCTCTTCCTTGGCAGGTGTATTAGTCCGTTTTCATGCAGCTGATAAAGACATACTTGAGACTGGGAAGAAAAAGAGGTTTAATTGGATTTCCAGTTCCACATGGCTGGGGAGGCCTCAGAGTCATGGTGTGAGGTGAAAGACACTTCTTACATGGCAGTGGCAAGAGAAAATGAGGAAGAAGCAAACGTGGAAACCCCTGTTAAACCCATCAGATCTCGTGAGACTTGTTCACTATCACGAGAACAGCACGGTAAAGACTGGCCCCTATGATTCAATGATCTCCCCTGAGTCTCTCCCACAACATGTGGGAATTCTGGGAGATACAATTCAAGTTGAGATTTGGGTAGGGACAAAGCCAAACCATATCAGCAGGTAAACTCGGCAGTTCACATGTGGGGAGTCCAGAGTGGAAAAGAACTAGACTAGGCCTGTTTTGCTGTAGCAAAAGGTGTTTGCTACCTGACCTTACTTAGGAAATGAGAGGTGAGTGCTACACATCTTCCATGTCCCTCCACAGCAGTTTCCTTCACTTTGCTTAGTGGCTGGGGAGGCTAATGTATTTAAGCTACTTCAGGAAACTCCCTGGCCGTCCATCTTCTTGGCCAGAGTATTTTTCTGCTCTTGTTTGTGGGGTCACACTGCTTCCCTCTGGGGGAAAGCCACAGCTCCTGTCAGATGGCCCTCTAAGTACAGAAGTTCTCTTGAGGCCCAAGGATCTACTCCCTTTCTGCACCTCCTCAGCCTAGGGGCCTTAGTGACCCCCAGCTGCCACTTGTTGGAGGGGAGGGAATAATCTAATCCTTGTAGGTTGCCATACTTATTGCCTACACATTTGTAAATAGTCTTTTATTCTACTCTTCTCAAATTATCATGTTTTCCATCAAATCCTGAGTGCTAGAAGATCTACTTGGAGCTGGGGCCATATTTCAATGTTAATTTTGTTTTAAAAAAATTCCTGTTTTTTATTTCTCTCTTGTCCTCTATAGATTTATTTCTTTCAAGGGCTTCAAGTTTTGGAGTTAAGGAATGAATTTAGGTGTTTTTGCCCAACACTCCCCATCACTTACCATATTGTATCATTTTAATTTTATCTCATTGCTAACACCCACTTCTATATCTTGCTTCTATGGTAAGTTTTTTGAACCTACATATATATTAATATTAATATATATTAAAGTAGCTTCTGTTTGGCTGAGTGAGGTCAATTACATACCTCCATAATTACATCATTTAGTATTCTCAATTTTAAATATTTTCTGTTCTAATTTCACTCTCAATGCTAATTAATCAATTAGAAACCTATCAAGTCACATACTCTGTACTGTGTTTGTGTTGAATACAGTGAATTATTCCATGTTCCTACCCTCGCCAAAGAGTTTATAATTTAATTGGGAGAGAAGACATATCCCTAGGAAAGCTCAATAATAACAGCAACACCACAATTGCTGCATTTCATAATTGGGTCTCAAATGCCTGGCACAGATGGTCGCTGCTGAGTTCATCAGAGTAAGAGATCATTGGGGACTGGAATAAGGGAGAAGGAGACCTTGTCTTTTAAAAAGCTCTTTGCTGTTTAAAAAGTTTTAAAGGAAGGACTATTCTGTGGACTTTCTGAGAATTCATCTGTTAAAGCAACCAAAAATGGTAGATGGCAACCGGGCCTTGCGAGTTGAGCTGGGCGGAGCTTCCAGCGCTACCCTGGGACATCTTGCCTTACACCAGCACACCCATTAACGTTCCCAGGTCGGATAGCTGTCTGTTCTTTTATGGGTTTAGTTCGCTTCAAAAATATTCTTCTACTTCTAAAAAGTCAAAGATTAAACTTCTTTTAAAAGCATTATGATGGGGGTATTAAAACATGAATAGAAGGCTAGAAATTTGCTGGATATGTGTTCTGGGGAAGTCATTCTTCCAGGAATCTGCATCTCTGTGTGTTCCTGAGAAGAAAATTGTTCCTCACAGAACCCATTTGTTCCCCCGATTTTAGCACTCAATAGCAGTTCAAAGCATGACTCAGAAACTCAAGTAGGAGAAAGGATGAGATATGGGTCATTGAGTAGTCTCTAAAAAAAATCTCAGCTTTTTGATGGGTAAATACATATTACCTGCTGTAAAAGACCTTCAGGATGTTGTAAATGACAGCATGAATCTTACTACATGCAGGAGAAAGAATGAATTCTACCAGCTTGATTCTAAACGGCCATACCTCAGGAACTGGTTCATTCACATAGACCCATTCTTCTGATCCTGGCTTAGGTGGCTGCGGCACTATTGCAACAGGTGATGTGTCTGTAGAGTCAGCAGGTGATTTCTTTACTGGTACTTTTCCTCCTGATGATTTTCCTTTAGGAGAACCTTAAACATGCATATCAAATTATTCCAATACAAGTAAATGAATGGGACAGAATTCTGGTGGAGGAATACATCTATAATTGCCATGGACTTCAGGTGATTCATTAACTACTTTTTAAAGTTTTTTGAGGAGTCTTACAAAAAATTCTTATTCTCCACAGCCCCCAAATTAACCAATAATATTAATAATAGTAAATGTCTTAAAGCAATCCAACCTATCTAAATGGCTAATATATTTGATATTTTATTTTCATCTCTGTTCTTGCTTTCATAATGAACATGTGACTTTTATAAAGTTTAGACTCTAGAACAAAGTGTATTTCACTTACTATTTCAAAAACTGGCAAATTAAACTCTCCACGCTGAATGAGAAAGAAGGTAGCTAGAACATGAGTGGTGCTCTTGGTATCCCTTGGAGACCAGGTAAGAGGGCAGAGAGAAAGGAGGATATTAAAAGAGTCAGCTGGAGTAGGTGAGGGATGCAGGGGAGGAGAAGAGGAGCTATTGTAGCCCCTGAACATTCTCTGCACATGACACAGGGTTGCTGTGGGGAAACTATTTTTCTTGCTACAGTTATGGAATAAAGATGAAGGTAGTTGCTGTGCCATAAGCCTGGCAGAATCAAGGAGTGAGAGAAAGAGAAAGGAAAAGAAAGGGAAGGAAAGGAAAGGGAGGCGAGGGGTGGAAAGCAAGGGATGCTTGGGAAGAAAACAAGAAAGAGGAGGTCTAATTTTCTTTTTTTTTTTTTTTTTTGATTTTGTTTTTGTTTTTGTTTTGTTTTGTTTTGTTTTGTTTTGTTTTTTTTTTTTGAGGCAGAGTCTCGCTCTGTCGCCCAGGCTGGAGTGCAGTGGCTGGATCTCGGCTCACTGCACGCTCCGCCTCCCAGGTTCACGCCATTCTTCTGCCTCAGCCTCCCGAGTAGCTGGGACTACAGGCGCCCGCCACCTCACCCGGCTAGTTTTTTTTTTTTATTTTTTAGTAGAGACGGGGTTTCACTGTGTCAGCCAGGATGGTCTCGATCTCCTGACATCGTGATCCGCCCGTCTCGGCCTCCCAAAGTGCTGGGATTACAGACTTGAGCCACCGCGCCCGTCCTGAGGTCTAATTTTCAATTCAGAATCCAAAAAGGACATTCACTTCACTTTCCCTGATAACATAAAGAGGGGAATCTAGATCTGTTAGGTGGTACCCTATGGAATGAACAACTTTGGTCCTTAACTCAGAGAGCACTAATATTCCCTGAAAAGATCAAGTTATTACAGTTTGGAAATTCACTCCATTTAAAATTCCACTTACCTTTAGATTAATTATTGAAATTTTTGGATGCAGTTTGCAGACACCTGTACAACTAGGAGCACTTTCTTCCTCCAAAATGTATTTCTTTAATGAGTATTATTTAGTGATAATGCTGTTTAGAAAAACAAATACATCTTCCACTTTTATGTTAGTTAAAAATAAGTGGATTATAAGTAGAGGAGAAATTGTTAATTATATCTTGTGGGCAGTTTAGGTGATCTCTACTTATATATTTAAAAACAGTATCTATTATCTGTAGATCTGAAGTTATATCTAAATTATATAAAATTTAGAAAAATTTAAGAAAGTCTTTGTTTAGGCAGTAACTGACAATTTTCACAATTTGCTATATTTTTCTATATAATGATTTTCCTTTGACCTGAATCTCTGGTGAAGTACAAATGATAACTCTATGACCAATTTAAAATGAATTTCTCTAAGCAAAATTCCTAAGAAGAAGAATTTTGTAATGATAAATTAGAGACTGGAATGAGTTTCTTTTTCTTTTCTTAAACATCATGATCATCCAGTGAAAACAGAGAGAGTCAGGAAATATTTCTGGACTATTGTGCTTTGATTATATACAACTTTTGTGTAACTTTTAACAATGAAAATGCTGAAGGGCAAAATATTTGAACAAATAAAAATGTATCTATGCATTAGTGAATATTTACTTTTGAACAACATCTTTATCAGCATCTTAAATGTAACAAGCAGCATTACTTTTTAAGTATCCTCCATGCAACCATATGAAGGCTTCATTTTCTAATAAGATGTTTGCTTTTACTTGTAGAGTTGGATCATTGAGTCCTCAGTATAACTATTCCTCATGCTCATGGATGAACGGTTTGGAAAATAATCTATGGATTAGCATATGGTAAAGGTACATATTACCAATTTTTTTGTTGTAAGAACCTGGTAGTATCACACAAAAACCCACAGCACTACAATGAGTATAAATAAAAATAAAATGCAGTAAAAAGAGAAATTCAATTTTAGAACACTGGATTTTAAAAATCAATATTATAAATAAAGAAACAATCAAAGACAAAGTGACAGATCAGTAGGTTTGAGCAAAGAGATAATAATAGGAACTCAGTGAAGGTCTGAGTAATTAAAAGTCAAGAGCTGGAACCAAAATTTACAACTAAGAAAGTAAATAGTTAATTCTAAGATAAGAGGATCAATTGATGAGAGGGCATTAGGAAAACCAAACACTTTCAAATTAAATTGGCCTTCCTCAGGGAGGTAAAAGGATTTGGAGGTGAGAATTGTAGGAGGGAGGAAAAGATAGGGAAAGTCCGCTTTATGTGTTTTTTTGTTGTTGTTGTTTTCTTTTAAGAAAGGCATTATATTTACTTTTCTGTTGTAAAATATGTCCTCTAGGACTTAATTTAATTAACAGCTTCACTAGACAGAAACCAGATCAATTAACAGTGATGGCTTTCTTATTACCTTGGGGGTTAACCATGTTCAGCAAAAACTATCTTTTTGTTAACAGTGCTAATGGCTGCCTGGGCTGCCAACAATGGCAATCAAAGTGGAGATTTAGAGTGTATTAGATAAGATGAAAATTTTAGCTCAGAAATGGACCAGACTGAAGCAACATGACCAGGAAGAGAAGAGGTCCAGTGTTGAGTAAGGAGCCAGAGACTGAGCATCTGTTCTCAGAACTCACTGTTGAAAAACTATTCTGAAAAAGCTCATGGAGGGAAAGCTTTCTCTGCTTACTGTCCTAAAATTTATGCTGTTACTCTGTGTAGAGCTGGAGATACAGAATGTGGACGACTATAAAGTAATGAGACTGGTTATCCGGGGTTGCTTATAAAACCTAATTTTAGCATCTTTATAATCAATGACAAGAGGGAACTCTCCAGGTCAGCTTTACAAAGGATTCCCCTTTCTGCCCACTGTCTTTAGTAACTTGGTCTGGGGCCAATAATAATAGTCCGTATTTATTTACAGTTTATTCTGGGCCAGACCCTGTACTATTTACTTTTTTGCACATTTACTTATTCTTTATAATAGCCACATGAGTAGATACTCCTATTACTCCATTGCACAGATGAGGAAATTGAGGCATATTAAGGTACAGTAACTTGCCAGAGGTAACTCATATATGGTAAATGGCAGAGCTAGAATTTCAGTTTAGGCAGGGTGGCTGTAGACTCTATGCTTTTGATTGTCATACCTCATTGCCTTTTAGTGTCTATTGATGCATTTCATATTGATAAATGTTCTTTTGATTCATACTTAGAAGTCTGCAAACTCAGAGAAGTTCTTATACTACTATTTACTTGGCTCGTTGATTTTAAGATTATTTTATTTATTTTGCATACCAATTTTCTTTTTGGTAAATTTCTGGTAAAAATTTTTTAAACTACAGTCTGATAAACAGATTCATTAAAAGACTCATACTTAAGAGCATAAATAGTATTTATTTAATTTATTTAAACAATTGTAACATTATTGAGGCAAAATCCAGGGAAGTTATGAGCAATTTAGTGTGCAAATTAATGTGGGAGGGTAGATAATATTCTCCAAAGAGTGAAGAAGCTCTTTTTTGTTTTCTCCTTATAGGTTAACAGTTCTTAACAAAACACTTCTTTATTCATTTTGACTGTCAATTTCCTCATCTTTGACATGGTAAAATGATCATTTCTACTTCATAGATGATTGTGAGAACTTAATGAGATTGTATATGTAAATTATCTTGTGTAGTGCCTGGTGCATAAAAGGTACTCTATAAGAGGTAGTTTGTTATTGTGCTTATAAATTGTATTATAAAAGATGACTATGGTTGAATTTTGCTACCAGAACCATGACCAATCATAAATTGCCAGCTTTTGTATGTGTGGCATCAACCTTCCAATGAAACCCAATGTATTTTGCATTTGCTATAAATCTATGAGGACCTTGCATATTGTGCCACATATTGTCCTCTGTTAAAGGTCTCAGGTGATAAAAATCTATTTTAGAAATTAATCCTGTTAAAACTTAAACGCATCATACTTCCTTCATCACCTTGTTTGTCAGGTTGTTCTGATTAATGAGTCATCACAATAAGCATTGTATCTTTGAGCTGAATGTGCTAATTTCCTCGTTTAAGGGCTTTGGATTTTTATTTGTATTTCAACAGCATTATTATAAACATGTTTTTTATTGTAATCTAACTTCAATATTTGAAGGAAGAGGTATATTATAAATAATACACCAGAAATCATTGAATGTTTCTGATTTTCCAGTGGCTACAATAGAGCAGTAAGCCTTGGGCTCCAGTAAAGTAGTTCTCAAATGTTAATAATCATCAGAATCCTCTAGTGGGCTTGTCAAAACACAAAACTGCTAGGCGCCACTCCTGGAGTTTCAGATTTAGTATGTATATTTCTAACAATTTTCTAGGTTATGCAGATGCAGATACTGCTGGTCCCAAAACCATACTTTAAGAGTCTCTGCTCTCATAGATGATCTAGTTATTTCAATTTCCTTTCACTTTTGTCTTTTTTCCTCTGTTCTTCCAGATCCTTCAAATTAAATGGCATTAATGAGACAGCCAGGTGGGAGGGGATCTCCGGACCAGCCTGCTTACTGGGGTGGAGACTTGGGAAGTTCATGCCATCTGTGGTGGGGAGGAGCCTGGCCCCTCTTTTTCCTGTGTGGAATCTGGGATTCAAACTGCCAGGCAGGAGGTGCTCTAGCAGAGGGAC